CTGCTTGCTTTCAGGGTCGTAGCCATAAACCCAACTTTCGTCACCAGTGACAACCTTCGAAAGAAAGTGTGGATCCTCTTGAAGCTGTTGCTGAAGTTCCCTGCAGACTTCCAAGCGATGCTGCTTCTGTCCATTTTGCAGCAGCCGTGGCACAAACTTCGCCACAATCCTCATGTTCAGTTCCTTTGACAAAATTCGTTGACATGTACCATAACTTAGTCCCAAGGTGTTACAGGTCTTGGATGATCAGTCTACGATCTTGCAGAATCAGATCCCTAACTTTCGCGACATTTTCTGGTGTTTTACCCGTTGACAGCCGTCCCGAACGATTGTCATCCTCAGTCAATGTTCAGCCATTTTTAAAACGCTTATACCAGTTGTAAGTTTGTGTCTGGCCTAAACTGGTTTCACCAAAAGCTTGCTTCAACATTTGGTGCGTTTCTGCAGCGGTTTTCCCCAAGTTTAAAACAAAACTTTATACAGACACGCCGCTCTCTCAGGTCAGCCATCGCAAAACCTCAAACTCACGGAAACACAACAATGGAAATACGTTCACCATCAATAAACCCAACCACCCAACTCGATGCTGCTTTCCACACTGATTCAAGAAGGATGTGTGAGGAGACACCTAGAGGTATTTCTATGTACTCATAACCATTCGCGCGCATAATTCAAATTTCGGAAACTTTTGAACTGCCCCACGTATAACTCTAATATCATTATTAATTTCATGTAAACTCTCATTCCCAACTGTTGGTTAGAAAATATCTTCTCTACTTATTTTGGGGTTCAAATTTCCTAACAAAATGTTCATGTAGTACTATAGGACCTGATGAAATACATGCTCTAGTCTGTCATGGAAGCTGTCCCCTAAATCATCACTTGTATGCTTAGTTGGAACAAGCAAGAACAGTGACATCATACGTATTCCTGGTTTGTGTGACTAATAATAATGGGTTCTAGATTAGACGAATAGATTTATTTGACACTCATAAGTTGTAACTACAGATAATTACAACACTATAAAGAATATTATAACACACAAAATAAAAGTTTTCAATTTCTGCTTTTTTTTTATTGCTAAAGAGGTGGGACTAAGTCCCTTGTATTGCGGCCACTTCTGGCCTATTGTGCCAGCCCCAGATGATAGGTGAGGGTGATTGTGGAGCAATTGGTGGAAAGAAGATTGGCAGGGGAAACCGAAGTACTCGAAGAAAACCTGCCCCAGTGCCACTTTGTCCACCACAAATCCCACTTGACCAGACCCGGGATCGAATCTGGGCCACCATGGTGTGAAGCCAGCGACTAACTGCTTGAGCTATGGCGCGGCCCAACGTCTGCTAACTAGTCACTGCTTGGTAACGAATCTTATCTGGTTAATACTTCAACTACTGAAATGTCTTATGAAAGATTTTCTGATTGCCTTCAACGTCTGTCTCTCTCTGACAGATTCATGAATTCATTGCCTTCTATAACCGTACTTCAGCCCTCATAGAAGTCACCATGTCTCACAAATCCCCCGTTCTTCTCTTTCATCAGTTGTCATGAAACGTGTCTGAATCTAGGGGCAACATTTTGATTCTTGCAAGCACGTTTGTTATCACAAAACGTGTTTTAACAATCCACTGTCTAGCAATGGATTATCCTATCACATTATCGTATACAACACTCCATTACTAACAGACTAAACCCTCTTAACTTCTGATATGATTCCCACATGCACAAGAAGTCCTGTCCTTAATTCATGATTTGTATCGTCATTTCAATACAGACATGTATAACTCCTGGTTTAATACCACCCTTACCCCATCTGACCTCCTTTACTCCCACTAAATCTAACTTATACTTTGTGAAGTCCCTTGCTTCTATTTTCACTGACATATGGAGATTCCTGACATTCCAAGTTACAAATATCACATCCAAACCCTTGTGTAACATTTTGTAACATGTTACAAATAAAAATGAAGGGGCGTCACACAAACAAATATTTTTATTTGTCAATTCACAACATGTTTCAGCCAAGACAGGCCATCATCAGGTGTTTCTCAAGGAAAAATACAAATGTTGAAGGATTTAATATAAACTATAGTGCTGTCGTTAAACATATTCTACTAGTTACTATTGGTCAGATCTGACACAATACTAAATATATTTCAGATTTAAAAAATTATAATGAAACAATACAAAGAGAAGATCCCTATGAGATGTGGTTTCGGTTGTTTTGAAGCCGGTCTGATGGTGGTCAGAACTTCAGGTTATAGTGCTGGATTTTTATTTACTTTCTTTGTGAAGTTCCAACTACCACTAGACCAGCTTCAAAACATTCAAAACCATAAAAAATTTAAACGTCTGTGATAATGGTACATTGCTACAAGTATTATGTTTTTGGACATTAACAATCGTCTCGTCTATTTAAAAAAAAAGTCCTGTTTCTTTTTTAAAACACAATGTTTCGGAGACTGGATTCTGTCCCCATCCTCGCCTGGAGATAGGGGCTAGCTCTATTTATTGGACCCAACTGAGCAGGTTATACCTGAGGACGGGGACAGAATCCAGTCTCCGAAAAGTTGTGTTTTAAAAAAGAAACAGGACTTTTTTTTTACAAAATAGACAAGATGATGGGTAAAGTCTAAAAACATAATACTTGATCCAAAACCATGTCTTGTAGCAATCTTATTGGTATTATGTCAGATCTGACCAATAGTAACTAGCAAAATATGTTTTATACTTGCATGGCAGTTTATATGTAGTCCATCACCATTTGTGTAATTCCTCAGGAATCATCTGATCAAGGCCTAGCTGGGCTGAAACATGTAGTGAATTGATAAATAAACAACATTTGCTTGTGTAAGAGCAACCTCTTCATTTTTATTTGTTAAGTGCAACAAACAAGATTTAACACTTTCCCTAATGGTGAGTAGTTACACCACCACCCAACCCCACAGCTGGAGGACAACCCCTTGTCGACTGCTTATTCAATATGTTTGCAACTACCCTCACATGCAGTTCCTTTTTTATGTCCTAAGTACATGTGACCTGAATTGCACGTACCCTAATAGAATCCCGCCTGGATATTTTCATCTTACTTTCTTTGGTCACACCTTCACTTGATCAGAATCTTTTTACTGTGATGAACTGTTTGAAGAATGTGACAGTATGCCTGAACTTGAATCCAAGTCACTCTTCCAGAAATTTATTATTTCACAACAAGCAAAATTTCAGATGTAATTACCTTAATTACAACTGATCAGAACTTTGAGGTGTGACACTAGTCTTACATGACTAGGCAATACAGAAAGGCAGGACTAATAGCCACAAACTGATGTTGCAACCAGTCGCACACAATTCACTCACCTGCGATTCTTTTCACTGGTCCCTCATGAAGTCTCTGCAGTAATTCAACAGAAGGCAGACCAAAACCCGACGCTTCTTGGAGATAGAATATAACAAGCCAAGTGAGGGCATAGCTGGTAATGTTGCTTTGTCCTGTCAATTTATGGGAATGGGCCCAATGTTTGATGAATAAAATCACAGGTCTCACACGTGGGTCCAATGATAAATAAAACCTACAAAGAAGAACATGAAACTGGTCTAAATCTGTCAAGTAGTTTGTGCATATTTCAATAACCACTCAAGTGGATAATTAAGCTTCTCAGACTGAACTGCAGTACCCAAAGTAAGACAGTGAATTGGAAACAAAAATGCTTTCATTGGTATACGAGTACATTCAAACTCTTCCAACTCTTTCATCTAAATCTGTTTTTGTGCACTGACATACCCTACAGACCACATTTCTTCTACAAATACTGAAATCCATATTTAAGGTTTTACGATCTTTCTTGTCACTCTCTAGGTTTAGCCTGGAAATAAAGGTTCACTGATTAATTAACAGATGTCTTTAATGTTCCATCTTACATGCAACACCTTTTAAAAATTTGTTTAGAAGTTACTACATTTACATACTGTGTCTTTTAATCACCTGATGATGACCAATGATGGTCAAAACATGTAGTGAAAAATGTAGTTTTTAAATAAGTTTAAAAGATGCATTGTGCAAATGTAGTAACTTTTAAACAAATTTTTAAAAAGTGTTGCATGTCAGATGGAACATTAAAGACATCTGTGCAGCATGATGCTATAATATAATATTAAGGTTCACTGACTTCATTCTCTGAAGGGGTGAAAACATTCAAATGTTCAAAGTACATATAACAATAGAGTCAACAAAGTTGGTGTGAAGGAAAAATGAACTGGAAATGAGTACATTTAGGATTGGCCCTGGAAAGGTGAATGGACATAAATTATATTATGAAGAATTCTATCTTCTGGCATTACCACTGTGCAGTACACTGAAAGTCAACTAATGTTTTGGGGGAACATGTCACCTCCAGCTTCAAGATTGAAAAATATGACAAGCAAGAAACCAGCATGAAAGCAGGAGCCAAGCACAGCTTGCATGCTGCTTTCCTGCTTAGCTCATTCTATAGCCCTCTATTATACAATCATGAACTATGGAACTGTAGTTCAAAAGGTATGCAAGTCAGTGAGAGGACATATTTTTGAACTTCCGAACCCATCTTTGACTGGGATAAACAGCCCATATGGACAACTATTATAATAGTGTCTACATGGCAAAACAACTGCATGAGTGAAGTACAGGAGTCCGAGGAACAATCGGGCAAAACAAGGGTCTACCTCATGACCTCAAAGATCACCAGAAGACACAAGTGCTTCTTTCATGACGGATGGATAAAAACATGATAACTATGGTACCTAGGGTGCTTTCTACAGCAATGCTTGAAAAGTGAAACAAATTTGGCAAGAAGTGAATAAAACCAGAATGTGGGCTGATTATAATACATTCATGCATGGGGTGAACAATGCAGACCAGTATTTGGCCCTTAATCCTTTTATGAGGAAACTAAGTGGCCAAAGAAAGCGTTTTTCTATCTGATCCAGTGTTCACTGTTTAATTCCTTCCAGCTATTTTTAAAGCCAAGTTCAGATATAAGGCGAGAATATCTTAACTTCATGAAAATTGTGTCCCATATTTTATTTCTGGAGAGTAATAAAACCTCCAGACATCCTGCCACAAACAGAGCCCCCCCACAAAAGACCCTCCATTTTGGCTACATGATAAGAAAAAGCATCATGTTTTGCTGAAATTTTCAGCAGTCACGAGTGACAGTGGCCTCATAAAATGATGTAGTGTATGTTTAAAAAAAAACTTGTGAAACTAGGTGGTATTGTTGAAAGCGTGGTGCGCCTTTGCATCCTGGGAAATGTGATAGTAGGTACCATACTTTCAGATTCCTGTGTGTCACAGTTCATGAATGAAGTCTTTCAGCATTTTGTTGGTCAATGAATGCATTAAGTGTACTGACATTTTAAAAGGGCTGGGATCAGAATTTAAATTACCCACTGAGAAGCTGGCAGCAAATGTGTTAACAGCATCACACAGTCTCCTTATCCAACCCATGACCATTAACACACCGTGGACTTGTATGCTTTTGTGATTAAATTCCCCAAATGGCTTGATATTTTACATACATTTAACTCCTGCAGGCAGGAAGCAACTTTACTTACAATTTTGAATATGCAAATGATGCTTTATAACTGATGGGTATGAAAATTGCATGTAGGTGATTCACTAGTGCTCCATGGAATGGAGAAAAACTTCTAGCCAGTGGAAAATGACAAGATTTGCAAACATACACCATGTGGCTACATGAACCCACATGCAATGCATGGGATTTAAATCATGATTTTTGACATGACCTGTCTGGAATGTGTTAATCTAATAAGCTCTTCTACATACTTGCAATATTAAGAAATAGTATCATACTTAATAAGCTTCGTATTTTCACATCCAAGTCCATGACGAAAAGCCACGTCACACTGCGTTCCACTTGGTGTGTGAAAAAATTTTATAATAGGTGTGCGAGCACTGGGAACTCCTTCCACGTTGCAACACTCAGGATCAGCTAACAACGTGCTTTCTGCAGCTGATACTATTAGCTCCTGGATGTCTGATCCTTGCCTGCTTCTTCCATTATACATACCACCTGCAATAATGAATGACCATTAATGTAGTTTTTATATTAAATTACACAGAATAAAAACAAGCACTTATTAGTACAAGCCTTAAAAGCACACAAATAAATTGTCACTATAGTCAGATGGCTTTGTGTTCTCTAGTTATGTTCCATTTTCTGCTGAATGCTCAAAATAGTCTAATCACAGGAATGTTAAACTGTCATGAATGATAAACTAAAACATCACTTGTTGAAACTGTCCTTAATTTCTTAGACAAGAATAATGTATGTATATACATAACTGTGAATGGTAAATACATATAGTACAAAAGAAATGAGAAAAATTACAAAACTTTTCAAAGACACACAGATAAAAGTAGCATTCCGCACACGAAACACAATAGAAAATATACTCAAACAAAAACCACATTTAGATAAATACAATAAAAGTGGCATATACGAAATGAAATGTGTAGATTGCCCACTGAAATACATTGGACAAATGGGCAGAACATTTAACACTAGATATAAAGAACATATACATGATATTAGAAATAATGCTAGCAATTCTGGGTACTCAAATCACATACTAAATACAGGATATGCATACAGAACAATAACAGAGGTAATGGAAGTTGTAACAACGGGAAAGAAGGGCAGACATTTGAATACATTAGAGAAGTACCATATATATAAAATAAGTAAGAAAGGCCTACACATGAATGATACACACATAGAAACACACAATCCCATATTTCAAAC